GTTACATAACCTAAACTGTCTCTCAATCGATAAAACAAAAAAAAGAACAACAATATATATATATATATATATATATTAATCTAAAAGAAGCTGCACTCAAAAAAATTAAATTATTCTCATTTATTAGTCACGCAGCTTGGAAAAAAAATATTAAGAAATTTATTGGTATCTTTCAATGAAGCCTAAAAAGAAAAAGTGAAAACGACAAGCATCTATTTCAACCATTAACAAAAAAATGAAAAAAAATATATACTTGTATAGCCTATATATATACTCCCACGTTACCCCTAAAATCCCCAGAATTTAAAAAACAAAATCATTTCCTTAATCAAAACTCATTTGAATAAGCATGGAATCCTTAAATTTCCACAACATCAAATCAGAGAAAGCAAATGCCATGATAAGGTACAAAAAACGTCAAAGAGTAACAATGTTGTTTCGATTCATCGAATTCTGTATATTTTTCGTCGTAATCTCAAGATTTTCCACTCAAAAATTACCAGATTATTTCAAGGGATTTGATGTCACCCTCATTAGTTCGCGATTCGTCTTTGTCCTTATAAACGCCATTGTTATCATCCTCTTCTTCAAATCAGGACATTCATCCGCTAAAGATGGTTCCATGGACAACGTTAAATTCAATTTGTATGATGAGTACATGCAAAAATATTCGATGAACAAAGAGGCTTATTATGAACAGAGCAAAAAACAGAGGAAACAGAGCATTGTAGCAGAAAGACGATTAGAAAAGAGAATTCATCGAAGTCACTCGGAAAACTCTTTATGTTTGGCTCATGATGAGAAAAAAACTAGAAAAAGAATAATGAGGTCCGCTACAGTTGGATGCTTGAAAAAATATAGACACTGACACTGTAAAACCAACAACTTCATATCCAGAGGATGGGATGAGCAATGTCGAATTCAGGAAAACTATTGAGGCCTTTATTGCAAGACAACAAAGATTATTGAAGGAAGAAGAGTTTTCAAGTTTTAAATAAAGAGATATCTTGAAAAAATATCACTAACACATTAGGTGATCGGGAAAAAAAAAATAGTTAAGAAAACAAATGTAAGTTTATAGCTATTTCCATTAACTATTTTAAAAAAATAAAATTGTAGTATATTTAAAGTTAACTTGCATAAATCCAGGAGCTAATTACTTATATACACTTTAGTTAGTAATATTATGTATCTTGCCAAGTTTTGGTACCTTCAAATACATAGGGATAAAATTAGGTGTAATTTGTTCTAAGATACATCGTATCCAAGTGAATTCATATGTATACAAATCTCGCTCACCACTTTCTCATGTAGCTGATAACTGAGCTATATATATGTAGTATGTATCTAGTGTAGTTCACATGTATTTGAGATATATACTAATCTCGTTCGCCTCCCTCCCCGATCTCGCTTGCCTCTCTTTCTATTTTTGTGTATATGGTAGCAAAAATACATGTATCGAAGTGTATTTTACTCAATATATGTAATATTTTAAAACTCTTAATTAGTGATAAAATATGTAATATAGGTAATAATAATATTTGTTTTAGTGAAGTATGTCTAATTATAATTTTTTTCCTATATTTAATCGCCATGATTTTTATTCGTTTAATATTGAGAAGATAATTACTAATCAAGGGTGTGTTTGGTATGAAGGAAAATAAGTTGATTTTTGACTTATTTTCTCATGTTTGGTTATTGAGTAGAAAATATTTTTCGAAAAAGATTTTTAGTATTTGATTTATGAATGAGTTTTTTTTGAGAAATATCTTTTATTTTTACTAGGGTAGAAAATAATTTTTGAAATTAAAAATATTTTTTAAAAACAAATTTAATTTTTTTTTTGGGAGGTGGGTGGGTGGGGCGGGGGGCTGGTAGGGGGTCGAAGGTTGGGGTGAAAAAATAAAATTTTGAAGTTGAAAATATTTTTTAAAAACAAACATAAATTATTTTTTTGGGGGGTGGTGGGGGGGGGTGCTGGTAGGGGGTGGGTGGGGTGGGGGGGCTAGGTAAGGGTGAAAAAAATGAAATTTTGAAATTGAAAATATTTTTGAAAAACAAACTTAAAATTATTTTTTGGGGTGGTGGTGGGGAGGGGGGTTGGTAGGGGGTGGGTGGGGGGTCGAGGGTAGGGGTGAAAAAATGAAATTTTGAAATTGAAAATATTTTATAAATACAAACTTAAATATTTTTTTTTTTTGGGGGGTGAGGGGGCTGGTAGGGAGTGGGTGGATGAGGGGTCGAGGGTAGGAATGAAAAAATGAAATTTTGAAATTGAAAATATTTTTAAAAACAAACTTGAATTTTTTTTTGGAGGTGAGGGGTTGGGTAGGAGGTGAGGGGGGGGGGGTCAAGGGTAGGGTGAAAAATTAAAATTTTGAAGTTGAAAATATTTTTTAAAAACAAACTTTATTTTATTTTATTTTGGGGGGGGGGGGGGGGGGATGGGTAGGAGGTGCGTGAGGGGGGGGTCAAGGTAGGGTGAAAAAATGAAATTTTGAAATTGAAAATATTTTTTAAAAACAAACTTAAATTATTTTTTTTGGGTAGGGGTGGCGAGTAGGGAGTGGGTGGGTTGGGGGAGGGGGGATCGAGTGTAGGGGTGAAAAAATAAAATTTTGAAGTTGAAAATATTTTTTAAAAACAAACTCAAATTTTATTTTTTTTTGGGGGAGGGGGGGGGGGCAGGCCGAGGAGGGGGCGTGGGTGATCAAGGATTGGGATGAAAAAATAAAAAATTGAAGTTGAAAATATTTTTTAAAAACAATAAAAAAATTGAAATTAGAAATATCTTTTAAAAATATTTTTTATTTTTTTTGGGAGGGGGTGGGGGTAGGGGTAGGGGTGAGGATGGGTAAAAAAATTGAATTTAAAAACAAGCTTTAATTTATTTATTTTTTTGGGGGGAGGGGGGGTTGGTTGGAGGGTAGGGACAAAATAAATTGATTTTTTCAACAAAAAAGTAATTGTAGTTTGAAGTTGGATGAGAGTTTTGAAAAATGTTTTCCTTAAGTTTTGAAGGAAAGTAATTTTCCTTAAATTTGAGAAAAATGAGTTGGTTTGAAATTTTTTTTCCAAAACATCTAACCCAACCAAACATGAGAAAAACCAAACACACTCCAAATCTAAAAAATTCAAAAGGTGAGAATATGGGGACAAGTTCAATGATTTTGTCCGTGTAATAGTGAGATGTTAAAAGTGAGAATTGTGTGGTTTCCTTTATGAGAAAAAAATAAAATTAAAAAGAAGTGGTTTCTATTGCTTCCTTTTGCTTTATAACGAAATGCTGCCCCTTTGACGGTCTCAAATATCATACCGGAAAGTTCTTTCATTTGAACTAAATGTTCACATTACTGTTTTAAAATTTCAATGCTTAATATTATATTACTTCCGTTTCAATTTATATAACACTATTTGATTAGATACAAAATTTAAGGAAAAAAAGACTTCTTAAAATTAGTAGTGTTGTTGATTTAAGAATTGCTAACTTTATTGGGAAAACCTTTGCCGAACTCAAAGAACAAAGCAGTCTTTATTGAATTAATATAATTATAATATAAACATAAAAATTAGTCTGACCGGTAAAGATTTAGGTATGATTGTAAATGTTATTATATCTCTAGTTAAAGATTTTAGATCTGAGCTTTTGAAATGAAATTGCTTCAATATGGATACTATATTTTAATTGAAAATTTTGACACAAATTTAAATTACTCAAGTTTTGAAAAGACTTAAGTAAAATACTGAATAGACAAAAAGTAAGATTGAAGGAGTTGTTGGGATATCAAATTTCACTCACTTTCAATTTTAAGATTATGAATTTGAATCACAAGGAGACATAAAAGAAATAATTGATCTGACAATTCTTTATATATTTTTTGTGTAACTTTTATAACAAAAAATAATAGTAGGAGAACTGGCATGCGGCAAATAACAATTTCTTAGTTTGTAAGGAAGGAGAGTGGGGTTTCCAATAAAATATATACACTTGCAAATATATTAACTAACACATGTATTATGGGAAGTTTCCATGTCTCAAGTAAGCTTATTAAAAAAGGGAAAAAAATAATTATTACCCCGGTACAGACGTACACTATGCTAATTAAGCATATACTTAATATATTTAACAATTATTACAAGTACAGTGTGCTAATCATACTTACCTATTTTGGCATGTTGCTTTAGCCTGATAATACAAGGTATTATTTGGACAATTATTAGTTATTATAAAAAAAAGTTAAATTAATATTTGATATTCATATATGACTTCCACGAATATGTCTGATTAGAAGAAAACTTAATATTTCTCTAAATTCAATTTGTTTGTTTTACTTTACGTTGTTTTAAAAAAAAGTGTCTCTTCTAGTTTTTGGCAACTCTTTAATGCTAACTTTTCATATTATATGTTTAAAATCATAAAATTAAATGACATTTTAATGCACTTAATTTTCGTTTAAAATATAGTATTTAAAGTCTTCTTTACTTTCTTAGACTTTTTGTAGACAAACAAATTAAAACAAATGGAGTACTAATAACAATTTCAATACACAAATTGAGAAAATTATCATTATGGAAGGTTATAAATATATTTGGTAGGTGTGAATAACGTGAATATAGAACACATGTAGAAGTGTGCATACTTTATCTAACAAATAAAGGTCATAAACATATAAAATTATTAATCAGAAAAAGATGCACTAGAAAAAAGATACTAATATTATTTTCATGAATATAGTCACGTAGCTCGGGAAAGATATTATTAATCTCTTTCAATGTAGCCTAAAAAAGCCTATAAAGAAAAAGATAAAAGTGAAAACGACAAGCATCTAAGTTCAACAATTAACAAAAAATGAGAAAGAAGAAGAAAAAAAAAAACAATACTTGTTAGCTATATATACTCCCACATAAAATCCCCTGAATCTCAACAACAAACATAAAAGATTAACATCCTTTTCTCCTTAATCCAAATTAATTTTTGGTTTCGAGTGAAAATAATACACATGGAATCCTTAAATTTCCACAACATCAAATTGGAGAAAGCAAATGCTAAGTTAAGATACAAAAAGCGTCAAAGAGTGACAATGTTCATCGTTTTCTGCATATTTTTCACCATAATCTCAAGATTTTCCATTCAATTGCCACTCTCGACAGATTATGTCAAGGGATTTGGTGTCACCCTCATTAGTCCTCGATTCGTCTTTGTTCTTGTAAACATAATTGTCATCATCCTCTTCTTCAAATCAGGACATTCATCTGCCGCGGACAACGTTAAATTCGATGAGTACAAGCAAAAATATTCGATGAACAACGAGGCTTGCTGTAAAAAACAGAGCATTTTGGTTGAAGAGACTAATTGTGAACAGAGCAAGAAACAGAGGAAACTGGCAGAAAGGCGATTAGAAAAGAGAATTCATCGTAGTCATTCGGAAAACTTTTTATGTTTGTCTCGTGATGAGAAAAAAACTAGAAAAATAATTATCAGGTCACCTACAGTTGGATGCTTGAAAAATATAGACATTGACAGTGTAAAACCAACAACCTCATATCCAGAGGCAAATTGTGAACAGAGCATTTTGGTTGAAGAGACTAATTGTGAACAGAGCATTGTAGCAGAAAGGCGATTAGAAAAGAGAATTCATCGTAGTCATTCGGAAAACTCCTTACGTTTGGCTCATGATGAGAAAAAAACTAGAAAAAGAATGATGAGGTCAGCTACAGTTGGTTGCTTGAAAAATATAGGCACTGACAGTGTAAAACCAGCGATGACAACAACAACCTCGGATGGGCTGAGCAGTGTCGAATTCAGGAAAACTGTTGAGGCATTTATTGCAAGACAACAAAGATTATTGAAGGAAGAAGAGTTTTCAATTTCAACATAAGAGATAGAAGATAAATACAGATACCAAGGAAGAAATAACAGAGTTTTAACTAGCACATTATGTGATCGGTTTTTTTTTTTTTGAGAAAACAAATGTAAGTGCATTCACAATATTAGTTAGTATCAATTTTGTCACTTTGGACGATCATATGTTCATGTGCGTGCTGATTGAATGGCACTGTTAATTAAAACATGAGAATCTTCAATTCACACAGAAGTGAGCCTCAAATGTGTGGTAATGGAAATCGAACTTGATCACTTCCATGGAAAGAAAAATAAAAGTTTCACCATACAATACTTAACTTTATCATTGTACCTTATTTAGTGTTATTTTGAAATAAATTTTCGATAAATGAATATGAATTAATTAAATTGATCAATGAACATCAAATAAGTATTTAGTTTTCTTATATTGATCAAATTCATATTTTCAAGACTAATAACTCTCAATGTTAAAATATAAAAAAAAGTAATGTCTTTTTTAAATTGATTTGTGAAATGACAAGTATGTAGAAATATCTATTTTCTCATTAAGAACAACGTATAAATAGAAATGTATGGAGATGGGGGAGTAATATGAGAAGAAACTTCTATTGTTTTATTTTTTAAAATTTATGGTAGAAGTGTTCACGTTTTTTTTAAAATAATAGAAATGAAAATAATGAAGACTACTAAAAAGTAGAAAGTAATTAATTTCGTTTTCTCTTTCTTCTTCTTAGTCTTTTTTTTTTTTTTTTTTAAGTTCGACAGAAATTAGGTAAAGTCTAAGAAGACGGCTAAAGAGTAAAGGTAATACAACTATTGCTCTAAGTTTCAACACAATTTTTTACAAATAAATTCTAAGAAATGTTGATTTTCACTTTATTAAAAAAATTATGATAAATAAAATTGTCACTAAATATACTTTTTTCAGTTAAAGCTACACTATTTCTTTTATTTTAATTTATGTAAAGATAAGTAATTATAGATGTAGATTAAGCAAATAAGGTTTTTTTATGATACTTTTGTTCAAGGAAATGAGTAATAGAACAATTTGTAAGAAGAAATATTGTATTGAATCGTACTCTTATACATGATCATTTATTAATTTGAAATTCATAATTTATTTCTAAATATTTACAGTATATTATTAAATAAATGTATCTTTCAAATATTACTATTTAAAAAAATATATTCTTATTACTATAAGATCTAAAGGACGCATAAAACGCGTACGCTAAGACTTATTTTATTAAAATGTCATTATCTAAGAGGTTGGTTTAATAAACGAACAAGGTCTTAGTTAATTGATTGTATCTATATCTCTTCCAATAAAGTTTGCACTTAGAGATGATTATAATGTTAAACTATTGTTAGGATAGAAAAAGAAATCAATCTTGCCTTTTTTCTTGTATTTTTAAATGTGAAAATTTTATAAATGACATATATAAGACTAATATTTTCAAGCTATGACAGTATCATAATACTTTTAAGTTGTAACAATAAAAAATTTCAGGTTGTAACAATTTATAAAAAAAAATAGAGTTTTAAAATAATTGTAAAAAATAATTTTTAAAAATTATTAAAAGGAAAAAAAATGGATAAAGTTATATTAATTAATTTGAATACATTAAGGATAATTGATAGTTGCCATAAATTAAGGAAATTCAAAACAAAGTATGAATATTTGTTTTCCTTTTTTTACTCAATCAGTTAACAGTAATTCAAAAAGCAGATTTTTTTTTTAGTAGTAATTACGGATATGTTAGTAGTAATTAATTTTGAATTCATTAATGATAATTAATATGTGCCATAAAATTAGGAGATTCATAAAAAAAGGAATATTTGTTTTCCTTTTTTTACTCAAATCAATTAAATTTCATTCAAAAAACATATTATTATTATTATTATTTTCAAACGTTTATCTCTCCTCTCAATTTTTTCTGTAATTTGTCGTCAGTCACAACTAGTTTCAGTTGATTTTATCCAATAATTTTCATTTGTGTTGTAATGGACGACTTCTTATCAATATTAATAAGCACACGGTGGTAGATGGGATCCTTCATATTGGTGTTCTTTGCAATTTTTTATTTGTATTGTTATACAACTCAAGCTTAAAAAAAATAAAATTAAGAACAATGATACTGGAAAGAAGTTTTCGGATTTTGGTTGTGTATAATAGAATTTAATTGTGACGTTTTTGGTATGAACACTTTTTTTTTAGATTACATAATATTTGTTTGAAAATGCAAAAGATTTTGGTATGAATTTTTTTTAATTTATGGTTTCTGGTAAAAATAAATTACATAGAATTTATTTCTAATTGGTATACTTGTCATACCATTTTTGTACAATTTTGGACTTATATTTGAATGAATTGTGTATACTGGTTACTTAAAAAATTATTCAGATTTTGTTTGTGTATAATAGGTTTAATTATGACGTATGAACATTACATAAATTTTTTTTGAAATTGGTATAGATTTTGGTATGAACATTCATTTTTTTGTATGTTTCTGGTTAAAAAAATTACATAATTTTTTTTTGAAATTGGTATATTGGTTATATCATGTTGGTACGATTTTGGCATTATATTGGAATGAATTTCGTATACTATTTATCTAATAAATGACAATTAATTGTTAGAAGTATTATTAATTTTTTGATATGGTTCTGGTATAAAAATTGACGTAAATTTTGTATGAAACGGGTATAATAGTAAGATCAAATTTGTATGAAAATTTATAATTTTTATGGCACGAATCTGGTATGATTCAATTTCTATTTTTGGCATTATATTGGTTGGAATTGTGCATAATAGTGGGATGAAATTGATATATTGTTTATTTAATAAAATATAATTACTACTTATAAATTGTAGGATTTCGTATTCTTTTTTGCATGAATCTGGTATGAATCAGTGTTTACTTTTGGCATGAAATAGGTATAAAAAGTATGCATAAAAATGGTATGAAATTCTTATATTGATATAACATATGTATAAAAGTTATTTGTACTTTTGTATCCTGTAATAACGACACAATAATTTATGATGGAATAGAAAAATATTCAATTCAAAGAGTGTCAGAGCATAAATTATTGCCACCTGTTTCAAAAAGAAATGTAGGAAGACCACAACTTGAACGTTGGAAAGGGCTTGCTGATGTGAAGCTCAAGAGGTCTAAGGTTACGTGTAGTACATGTCATCGAGAGGGACACAACTGGATGACATGTTCAAATTACCCTGCTGAAAAAAAAGACATAATTTTTTTTTTGATTTGGTCGTTTTATTGTGACAAACTCATGTTTTTTTATTTATTTTGTATTTTAAGTTAATGAATTATAATTTCATAACATTTATTATGTGTACTAGCCAACCTAAAACTAGTTAATGTTGTATCTAATCTGTATATATTTGGTATCGAACTGATATTCCATTGGAAAAATTGAAAAAACATGAAATTGATATTTCAAATGAATTAGCTAACTAAAACTAGTTAATGATGTACTCAATTAACATACATTTGGTATCTAATTGATATTCAATTGGAAAAATTGAAAAAGTACGTAATTGAGATTTCAACTAAATTAGTCAGCCTAAAACTAGTTAATTTTGTACCCAATTGGCATACATTTAGTATCGAACTGATATCCCGTTGGAAAATTTAAAAAACCAACATGTAATTGAGATTTCAACAGAATTAGTCAGTCTAAAACAAGTTAATGTTATATTCAATTGGTATACATTTGGTATCTATCTGATATCCCATTGAAAAAATTGAAAAATCAACAAGTAATTGAGATTCAACCAAATTAGATAACCTAAAACAAGTTAATGTTGTATCTAATTGGTATCCATTTGATATCTAACAAATATCTCACTTGAAAATAGAAAAAAAATGTAATTGATGTTAAACTGGTATCCAACTGGAAAATTTAAGTTCTACTTGTATCCAATTGGTATTTAATTAGTATCAAACTGGTGTCCAATTGGGTATCAAATTGATATCCAACTAGAAAAACTAAGTCTATTTGTATCAAATTGGTATCTAATTGGTATTCAGCTGAAAATACAACATATAATTAAGATTTTGACTGAATAAGTCAATCTAGACTAATTAACATTGTATCCAATTGGTATCCATTTCGAAAACCTAATTGTAACAATGTATACAATTGATATCTAAATAGAATTTTAAGATATTTAATTCTTATTACTTTGTATATGCAGTTTTTCTTCAAACTAAAATCTCAATCTAAAACTGGCTACTGTTGATATCCAATTTGTATCCAAGTTGAAAAATATGACTAATACTGCATGAAATTGGTATCCAACTTTTATCCATCTGGGTTTAATTAAGCCTAACAATGTATATTTATATACTCAACATAAAACATACTCTTCATTTTCAAATATCATGAACGAAAATCAATAAAATTTGTTTAATATTTCATAGTAACAATAATGCATAGTATATATTATTGCCAAAAACTGAAGCAAAAAATAAATAACATCCTAAAATCATGAAAGTCTAAGTCAATATCTATCTGACAACTAATCTTTTTGGTCTTGGTATAGGATAATTGGTAGTATCCAGATCATGTTCTTTTGCTATGCTCGGTCCATCAACTTTGCTAGCAACAATACTAGTTACTTCACTCTCACTAATTGTGTCATCAGCGTTCTCACTTCTTACATACTGCCATGGGATTGTGGCATACCTTTGACGATATTTTACATCAACCTCAATGTGACCCATATCAAAAACTTCACTGCTAATACATTTAGCAAATAAACATGTGTACATGTCACAATCACTGAAAAAATATTGAAAAAAATTAATTTAAAAAAGAAAGTGAATTAATTATTATGAAAAAATTACAATAATTTAGGAATACATACTTTGATATTGGATCTTGTTAATGTACATCATTGATAAATTCAACTTTGAGAGGATCAAGTTGAGTGGCAGTTTTCGTTTGAATGGAGAAGAAGAACAATGGAGAAGTTGGAAGAGAAAG